TTTGTTTTCCATTGCATTCATTCTAGTGGTGAGGCTTTCTCCTGTTGTTTCAAGTTGACTTATTGAGTTTTGCACTTCCTTCTTCGTTTCTGCCTGAGTTTTCTTCAATGTTTCTTTCTCTTTTGTGAATTCATTCAGTTTATCCCTATCTTCTTTGAGTTCTTTGTTTGTTCGCATGTTCTGTAAATTCCTTGAATTCCTTGATCATGATTATGATTGTTCTTTTAAATTCAGTGCCCTGGGTTATATCTAGGGGGTTCTCCTTGTAGAACTCTTCTACAGAATTGGTGGAGTTTGGTGGGGACATAGTGTTTTGGCTTTCCACTTTATTATTATTTTGTTGCGATTTTGGCATGTGAATTTCTTTTGTTGTTTATGATTCTGATATGAGACTTATCGTTTGTGATTCTGATATGAGAATTAAGTTGAAGTATGCTTCTGTTTGTATTACTGGTGTGCACTGGTCCATTTCTTATTGGTTATATAAAGCTGGTTGGTACAGGTTTCAGGTTCTCTGAGGTTTTATTTTGGAGGGAACTGATAGCTTCAGATCAGCACCATGTGGAGGCATGATCCAGGTGCTCTCAGGCAGTCCCCTGAGTTCACAGCCCCTATGCCAGAGGGAGATGGGAACAGGCACTCTCTGGTGGTCTACTGAGATCCCAGCTGCTTCACAGATGGAGGTCAGACCCCACCCTCTCCTTTTTTTTTTTTGGTCTTTTTGAAACAGGGTCTCTCTGTAGCCCTGGATTCACTATGCCTGGCTGACAATACTTGTTTTTTTGTTTTGTTTTTTTTTTTGGTCTTTTTGAGACAGGGTCTCCCTGTAGCCCCAGCTGACCTGGAACTCGCTTTGTAGACCAGGCTGGCCTAGAACTCACAGAGATCCTCCTGCCTCTGCCTCCTGAGTGCTGAATACTCATTTTATATCGTGCCCTGATACTATGTTTTTGTTGTAGTCTGTTCAGGTTTCTATAGCACAGTACCACAGACTTAGTAGCTTAAACAACAGAAATTTATTTTCTGATGATTCTGGAAGCTAAATGGGCAAGATTAAGGTGCTATAAAGGCTGCCTTCTGATGATGCCTCTTTTTTGGCCTATAATTTTTTTATTTTTATTTTTGTTTTTTTTGAAGGATTTTTATTTATTGTGTGGAGGGAT